TCATATAACCTAACACTAATAACACAGTTCCATTTGCTCTCAATATCGCAACACACAATGTTCATTTTTTTACATTCTCACATAAATAACAAATCTTCTTTAACTTATACAAGATTCAAAATTTAGATATTATCATTTTACAAGAAACTATTTTCAAAAATTCATCTTATATACATTTTTTAAAACTCATTTGTTCAGATAAATTCGTTCCTTTTTTAACATCATCCTTCCGCTCAAAGTATGGAGTTCAGAGTTAGCTTTCTTATCAAAAAATACCTGGCAGATCACGTGTTTCACCATTCCTCCTTTTCTATTACATTTTTCAATAGATTTTTAATTTAAAAATAAACGCAAGCTTCGTATTATTAATATTTATGTTTTTAGTTCGAATAATAACATATGTGATAAAACTTATAAGAAAGCATTAAACCTCATAAATGATGTCTAACAAAAGGATTACTTCACAATACTTCTTAGTGATTTTAATGCAGATCTATCACGAACATTTAATCCTTCAAATCATTAACCTACTTCTTTTATTCATTAAACATTTGCAATAAATATCTTAGGCTAAACTATTTTTAACCCTCCCTAACTTGCTAAATACAGCAACTTTTATATTGATTAGCAAACTCTCTTTTATGTCCTTAATGATTCAGAAAACGTTAGAGTGACATCATTTGATGCATGCAAAAGGAAACAATTCAAACTTAAATTAATATTACAATTACTTCTAACTTTAACGATCATGAATGCACAGTATTCTCAAATTTATACCTCTAATATTTGTTTTCACTATAATAATGCAGTTGAAAACTTTGATCATATTTGGAATTGTCTCAATAATACAACCTCTATTATCAACATAATCTATCAACATAATTCATAAACATAAACAATCGTTCATATCTCATCTCAAAGACCTCAATAGACTTAACATTGATATTCCAATTACTCATATTGATCAATCTTCAATATGGCAGTACAACTCAATCAATAATAATTTATATTTAATTGACCTCTTAAAAGAAATTATTCCTTCATCATTTTCTACCTCCATTAATACCGTCACAAATAACAAACAATTTACCTTAGATTTATTATCATCCTTATTTGATGATATCTTCTCCTTTGCTCACAATATATAGTTAGTAAGATGTGAATCACTACAACATTGGAAAACCTCAAACAACATCAAAGATGATTTTACTGTTACTTGGGTATTCTCTAGTTTTCTAAGATTTATACAAACTTCACAAAGTAATCCCTACTCCTTCTCAACAGCTGTTGCTTTTGGTTCTCACTGGTCAAATTTCTGGTACAGCAATAACTACGCTCTTCCTTTCAGACGTTTGATATCTGTATTTTAGTTTAGATTAGTTTCTTTTCTTTTCTAATATATAGTTTAGTTCGGTAAAGTACAAGGTTGGTATTGATAAAATAGTTTAGTTTGCTAGATTAGTTTATAGATATTTTTGTATTTTCTGTTTTATTTTGTTTTTCTTGTAAACTCATAAATATTAATAAAGATCATGCGAGACTGCTGTACTTAAAAAAATAAAAAAATAAATCATTTATGTATATTAATTTTAGGTGTAATATTATATATTAGTATTGCTAATATAATTTTTAATAAAAATTTTTTATAAGACTTCTAATACTAATTTTATTATTTTATCTTTATATTACAAAAACTTTATAGAATATTTAGCTTAAACATTTTTTATTCTTAAAAAACATTGAATGCATTAGATATTTACTATTAAAATTGATTTTTAATAAATGAAAATTTTATATATTACTTTATTCAAAATTTTAGATAAAGCAAAAATTTGATTTAAATATATTAAATAACTTTATAAAACTAAATTATTATTTCTTGTTAAACAACATAATAAAAATAATAAAAATTCCAATTGTATTCTTATCTCACAAAGATTAATTGTGAATTTGTATAATAATATAGAATAGATGTATATTAAGTTTATACTAATAAAAGTATTTAAGTTTATTAAAAAAATTATTTAAATTAATTATTTAAAATTAAATTTAAAAAATTTAATATAATAAATTTTTTTAATAATTTTAGTCTTTTTTATTGTAAAATATCTACATATTTACATATTAATTAAATTTATATCATAAAAATTTTAAATAAATTATAAAATAATAATAAATAAAATTTTTTTTTAAAATAAATTTTATAATATCATATTATAATTAATATAGTTAAAAATAAATTTAATAAGATTATCAAAAGATTATAAATTTTAACTTAAAAATAACTTTAAATTTTTTATTAATTAAAAAATAAAATATTACTATAATATAATATATTTATTAAAATTAATTTAAAAGTAAATTAAAAATGAATTTATAAAAATAAAGAGATAAATTTACTTGTAAATTTATACAATTTATATTATATATAAAAATTAAATTAATATTTAAAATATTAATAAATTTTAAATATAATATAAAGTAAAATAAAATATTTATTATATTTTATAATTTTAAAATAAATATATAAAATTTAAAATAATTTATTTTAAATTTATAAAAATTTATATAATATAAATAGTTTAATTTAATAAAATATTTTATAATAAAATTTATAAGATATTTTAAGTAAAATCAAAAAAAAAAATAAGTTAATTAATAAAATTTTAAATTAAAATTAATGAAAATATATTAAAATTGCAGACACATTTTATTTGCTTCTTTTACTATTAAAGAAATATAATTTTTAAAAGTTTAATTATTGAATGATATTTATTTGTATATTTTTGTAATAAAATTTTTAATTTATTATAAGAAAAATAAAGAATTTATAATATTATTAAATTTTTATATTTTAAAATTTTTTTATATATAAAAAAGTAATTTTAACTTTGTATTTCAGATTATTATCCTAAATCTCTTTTTAAAATTTTTTTAAATTTGAATTTTATATAAAAGAATTGAAAAAATAAATTATTTAAAATGATTTTTATAAAAATTTTTTTAAATAAAATTTAGATTAAAATTATTATAATTAGATTAATTTTATATTACAAGCTAAACAATTATATATTAAGAATTAATAATAATAATAAATCTTTTTATAAACTTATTAACTATAAATGCTTCTCTTAGATTTTAGTAAAATTATTTTCAGTCGGATAGGGTTTTGGACAATTTTTCCTGTTCAAAACCTTGTCCAATATATTTAAAATCAAAATGTGACCAAAACCCATTACCGTAACCAAGAAATTTTTTAAAAAAAAAATTATTTTCCCAAATTCTAATTCTGTAATTCAATAGTTTGTTGTATGAAGTTTTGAGCAACTTGGATTCTTAATCTCGCAGCTTCATTTGCTTGTTCAGTAAGTATTTTATTCTAATGATTTACTTTATAAATCAATATTTAATAGAATCTCTTCAAAATATATTAAATTGAAGATGATTTTAAAATGAAACCCAACTTGGCATGTGAGATCATTAATCTTAGCAAGTTTCTTCTTCCTGCAATGTATAAAGAAATAATATAATAAATTAGTTTTATTTCTGAAATTCATAAATAAATAGAAAATACACATACTGTATGTTATTTATTAATCTATCATAATTTCAGAAATTCATCTCAAATTTATTATTTAAAGCTTATAATAAATTGAAATTTTACATACACATTGATCACGCAATGCTTCGAATAATAAGGCTTAATGTGCTTTATCTAGAGCTTCTTTTGAGAAACAAGTTTCTATGCTCTGCATGAATTTCATCTCTAAAATAAATAATAAATCACGCAATAAAAAAAATTAATTTTTAAAATCTTGTATAATGAAATAAATCTATATATATTTAATTACAAGTTGAATGATGATGATTTCTTGTGAGTCGACAGTAATTTTTCCTAATCGATTCATAATATAAAGTTATATTTACAGGGCTAATTAAAAAAATTTGTTATATTTTAATTAAGAAATAAATTCACAGCACATACCAGTTTAATGAAAAACATCAAACCTTATTGCGATTTTGCGTTATTTTTTTTTTCAATATATGATAATTTATTAATGTGATTCACAGCCAAAGTAACAATTAATGAAAACAGCTTCATTATCTCGACTAAGTTCCCATCTTATGCAATATATCTAGGAACTGGAATTTTAAGACGATTAGCACGAAGTTCAAGGATTTCTTCATAATAACGCATGAGGAGTAAGACTAATCTTCTAAGCTTTTTGTAATTGTTCACCTAATTATCTTCCCAAACTTTACCAGAAACCATTTTGAATCACTATTCAAGATATATTTTCTTTATATAAAGTTAAAAAGAAACAACTAATTTTTAAAATTTCCAATATAATAACTTGCATGTTTATAACAAGATATTAAATATCAGTAAGGTCACCGACATTAACAACTGGGCATGAAAACTTGTCAAAAGTGTTTGTCTAGATAAAAAATGAAAGACACACACATATATAAAACGCTCATATATTAACATAAACATAAGCATTTTTCTAAAAGGAAAACCTCCCAATAAACATACCCGGCGCTAGCCATATCCTGTTCTGATTGATCCATATTAATTTACTTTATACTTTCAAATGACAAATAGCACAGGATACAAGTTTTTTTTTTTCAGAATTTTTAGTATATCAAATATTTACTTAAAAAAAAAGACAAAAATTTCTTATACAGATATGTAATAATATTAAATATAAAATTATCTTAGAGTCGCGGATAATTTTCAAATATCACATGAAAAAGATCACATCATTTCATTTAATTGGATACTGGTAAAGTTACATCAACTTTAGTTTTGAATATTATAGATAATTCCTCATTAAGAAGTCTATCTAATGTTGAGTTATCCTCTGATAAAACCACTTTTTATGGGTTGAATCATAATCATAACGCTTGGGTCTACTTATATTTCCAAAAGATTGTTTTTGAGAAAAAATGATTTGTTACAAAATTCTAAAAATTATTTTGATATTAGGCGAGGACAACTAAATTTGTTTGTTAGATGGTTGTTTATTGATTACATAAGTGCCAGAAGGACCACACCTAAGTGTAAGAACTCCACTCTAATGGACATTTAGGATTCAGCAATGAAAATAAAATTGCACAAAGAAGAATCTGATAAAAAATTTGGTAAGTTTATGTTATACATTAGATATTTGCAATTTAAAGAACATCAATGGCATGCTAGTCTTACCTCCTCATAATAAACTCCTGGCTGTCCTGCTACTGCTATATGTCTTCCTAGTATTGGTGTTACCTGACGTGTCCAAAGTCTTACCTAGAATCAGAAATAGAAAAATTTAAATTTTGAAATTATTAATAATAAGTAGGTTGTGTAATACATACATGTACAATTATATATCGGTCAAATTGACCATTCATATTTCTTATAGATCTTTTATCCTAAAAACACATCTTACGTATTATTATCGCATCAAACGATAACACTTTACATTCCAACCTCTTAAACCATCATACTTTTGAAATACTGCAACTTCGCACATTATTCGTGCATAGGGTCTTCCCTATATAATTAATTTACATTAAGACTAGGAAAATTAGGAACAAAATCTGATATGACGGAACTAACCGTTTTATCAACTGGGGGAATTTCACGATGTTGGGAAGATATACGAGGAGCTCTAAAAATTCTTAGTCCACATTGTGGTGGAGCTGGAGTTGGAGGTTTTAGAATGATACTCAAACTTAGATATATAGCAATATCAGATGCCGAGGGTTTTCCTCCTCCACGTGGCTTATAGTGAGCTAATAGGATATGAAAAGGTTATAAAACTGATAATAAGACTAAGCAACCCAAAGGAATTTATCTTACCTGAAGCACCTAGAATATCTATTGGAGGATTATCAGCGACACCTCCGTTGGGAACTTCAAAATATTTATCAAGACGCTTGACAACAAATGCGTGTTCTGCGTTTTCCATTTCAACTATAAATATGTTTCCTTTTGAAGCGATGTCAAATTTGTATCCGCGTGTATCTTGACGTTCAAAGAAAGTATTGATTTTTTCCACCAACAAATTCCAGCCTATCTGTATAGGCAAACTATCATACGTGTTAATATTAGACAGAACTTAATCCATTTGTATGATGTTTACTTACCTTCTCTTTTCTAAAGAGTCTTTTGCGCTCTGAAAATTCCTCTCTAGGGACATAATTCGTTTGATCATTTTTGAAGAAGATATCATCTA